GGTGCTCTGGAGAGGGGAGAGCCACACAGATGTGTGCAGAGAGGGCTTCCCTCGTGGCGCACTGGTTGAGAGTTCGCCTGCCGATGCAGGGGACACGGGTTCGTACCCCGGTCTGGGAAGATCCCACATGCAGCGTAGCAGCGGGGTCCGTGAGCCATGGCCGCTGAATCTGCGCGTCCAGAGCCTGTGCTGCGAAATGGGAAAGCCCACAACAGTGAGAGATCCGCGTAGAGCAAAAAAAAAAGTGTGCAGAGAGATGATCTGGAGAGGGGAGAGACACTCAGAAGTGTGCAGAGATGTGCTCTGGAGAGTGGAGAGAGCCACTCAGAAGTGTGCAGAGAGATGCTGTGGAGACGGGAGAGACACTCAGCAGTGTGCAGAGAGATGCTCTGGAGACGGGAGAGAGCCACAGAGTAGTGTGCAAAGACATGCCCTGGAGAGGAGAGAGCCACTCAGACGTGTGCAGAGAGATGCTCTAGAGATGGGATAGAGCCACTCAGAAGTGTGCAGAGACGTGCTCTGGAGAGGGGAGAGACACTCAGAAGTGTGCAGAGAGATGATCTGGAGAGAGGACTGCCACTCAGAAGTGTGCAGAGAGATGCTCTGGAGAGGGGAGAGAGCCACTCAGAAGTGTGCAGAGAGATGCTCTGGAGAGGGGACAGCCACCCAGAAGTGTGCAGAGACATGCTCTGGAAGGGGAGAGCGACTCAGAAGTGTGCAGAGAGATGCTCTGGTGAGGGGAGAGAGCCACTCAGAAGTGTGCAAAGACGTGTTCTGGAGAGGGGACAGCCACTCAGAAGTGTGCAGAGAGATGCCCTGGAGACGGGAGAGAGCGACCTAGAAGTGTGCAGAGAGATGCTCTGGAGAGGGGAGAGAGCCACTCTGAGGTGTGCAGAGAGGTGGTCTGGAGAGGGGAGAGAGCTACTGAGCAGTGTGCAAAGACGTGCTCTGGAGAGGGGACAGCCACTCAGAAGTGTGCAGAGAGATGTTCTGGAGAGGGGTGAGCCACTCAGAAGTGTGCAGAGAGGGCTTCCCTGGTGGCGCAGTGGTTCAGAGTCCGCCTGCCGATGCAGGGGACACAGGTTCGCGTCACGGTCCGGGAAGATCCCACATGCCGCCGAGCGGCTGGGCCCGTGAGCCATGGCCACTGAGCCTGTGCGTACGGAGTCTGTGCTCCACAACGGAGAGGCCGCAATAGTGAGAGGCCCGCGTACCACAAAAAAACCAAAACAACCAAAAAACAAAACGAAAACACCACCAAAAAAATGAAGTGTGGACAGAGATGCTCTGGAGAGGGGAGAGAGCCACTCAGAAGTTTGCAGAGAGGTGCTCTGGAGAGGGGAGTGAGCCACTGGGTAGTGTGCAAAGATGTGCTCTGGAGAGGGGACAGGCACTCAGAAGTGTGCAGAGAGATGCTCTGGAGAGGGGAGACAGCCACTCAGAGTTGTGCAGAGATGCTCTGGAGAGGGAAGAGCCACTGATAAGTGTGCAGATAGGGCTTCTCTGGTGGCACAGTGGTGGAGAGTCTGCCTTCCAATGCAGGGGACACGGGTTCGCGTCCAGGTCCGGGAAGATCCCACATTGCCGCGGTGTGCCTGGGCCTGTGAGCCATGGCCGCTGAGCCTGCGCGTCCAGAGCCTGTGCTCCGCAACGGGAGATGGCACAACAGTGAAAGGCCCGCGTAGTGCAAAAAAAGAAGAAAAAAAAAAGTGTGCAGAGAGATGCTCTGGTGAGGGCAGTGCCCCTCAGAAATGTGCAGAGAGATGCTCTGGAGAGGGGAGACAGCCACTCAGAGGTGTGCAGAGAGATGCTCTGGAGAGGGGAGAGAGCCACTCAGAGGTTTGCGAAGAGATGCTCTGGAGAGGGGAGACAGCCACTCAGAGGTGTGCAGAGAGATGCTCTGGGGAGTGGAGAGAGCCACTCACAGGTGTGCGGAGTTTTGCTCTGGAGAGGAGAGACAACCACTCAGAGGTGTGCAGAGAGATGCTCCGGAGAGGGGAGAGAGCCACTCAGTAGTGTGCAGAGAGGAAATCCTTGCCAGGTAGCCCCAGTCTCCCGGTTTCATTCTTTCCTTCCCTTGATGCGGATGTGAAAGGCTCGCCCACAATCGTTAAAAAAGACCCTTTTTTCCTGTGGTTAAACACATGGCACTTTATGGCTGCTTTATAATGAAGGGGTGAAAACTTTTCCTAACTTTGGCAGCACTGAAAACCAGAGCCATTATTTTTTCACAGAACCCAAGGTAAGTGCCAGGAACTTTCTGGTCAGAGATTTCAGTCTTCTGTATTTTGGGGTGAGGAAAAGGGACGATAATCACAGAGTGAAGCTAGAGGCCTGGAAGGAGCCTTTGGGCCCCTCATCCACACCCCCTCATTTTAAAGACTGGGAAACTGAGGCTGGAGAACCACTTCAAGCCCGTGGGGAGAATTAGTGGATTGACCTGTAAGCCCAGGCGCTTTTTTTTTTTTAATGAAACTAATGCGTCACAGCTCGAGGGTAAAGGGCCATAGTTTTGGGGATTAAAGAAATCTAGTTTAAAATCCCGTTCTGCCCATTCGTTTCTGAGCCTCCGTTTCCCCATTTGCACGTCTGTTAAATGGGCGTTAGCTGTCACTTGGGGTTGCTGTAGGACTCGCTGGCATCACATAGTAGATTGAACCTTATTACCAATGCTTCACCACTTCTGACATCCAACTTCATAAGGTTCAACTGAAGGGCTGAGCTAAGTGCTTGATAAACGATAACTGAGTTACTGGAAGCAAAGGACTTAGGGAAGTCAAAGATTATCTAGATCATTCCAGCTAACCTATTTCTTCTCAAATTTGATCTTAACTATTTGCGGGGGGGCGGTTCTCAGGGAAAGACTAAACTCTGGAGAATTTCAGCTGTGGTGCCTTGAGGGGTCAGGTAATTGCTCCAGGGGAGTGCGGCCTCTCCTTTCCGAGGCCGCCCGTTGCTGTGGTGCCGGCAGTGTGCGTGGACTCACCCCGCACTGCAGCCGACCCGCGCCATGGAGTGGGCATGCCAGTCCCGCTCTCTCTGGGGCCCTAGGACTTTGGTCTTGCCCTCATCAGGGACACATCACCTTACGCTGCATGCCGGGTGCCCAGCATCTCAAACCAGAAATGCTTCCAGGACAGGTATGGCTGACCCTTCTGGGCCCCACTGTGCCCCTTTTTGGTGCTTTCATCCATCTTTGTGGATTTCTTCGACTTTTCTCATGGAGAGAAATCCTTAGGGGCTTATAGCAACAAAGAAGAGAAGGTCAAGGGATTTCCAGGTGGAGAGAGGGGATTTTGGAGAGGGGGAAAAGCCCCTTCAATATAATTTCATTTAACATTTGGATTTTTAAATGGGGGGAGTGTTTTTGGAAAGTTTATCATTGGAGCAATGAACTGTGCTTGGATTCTGGTGGATGAGATTACTGGGAAGACAGTTTTTCTGCAGGATAGTGGGGGTGGGAGGAGGAAAGTTAGACACTGTGCCAGGAAATCATATTAGAATCTCCTTGGGACATTAGCTTTTGATTTTCCTCAAAGGGGAGCGAAGGTTAAATAGAAGGGTTTGCAAAACCCTTCTGCAGACTAGCTGCGGGCCTGAAACACTTCATATCAAGGGAGTACACTTCAGCTCCCCTTGTAAGAAAGCCCCTTATGCATCCCTGGAGGGGGAAGGTAGCTGTTCTGGGCAGAAGCAGCCTTCTAACTCACTCTAGCCCTCCAGGTTCCTGACAGGCCCTCTGCAGCGTGCCAGCAGCACGCTGGCTCTGGAGGATCACTGGCACAGGAACTGTGGGCAGTCAGCACTATAAATAGGCAGCCGCCACCTCCCAGGCTGCTGGGCACACAGCACCGTGAGGCCAGACCCATAGGTGCTGCTACTGCGAGGCCAGGGTGACTGGGCAAGGGCCCAGGACCAGCGTCCAGACTGTCACCCTGCAGACCAGGTTTACTGATTGCATCCTGCCTGCTAAGTACTTGCATGCATCTCCTGATTTTATCCTTGCAACAGTGCTGTGAGGTTGCAACCATCACAGTGCCCTTCCCAAATTGAAAACGGAGGCTCAGAATGCTGAAGCCTGTTGCCTAAATTCAGGGACAGAGTTAGGACAGAACCCAGGCCCGCCTGGGTCCAAGATGGATGCTTTTCGCCTAGGCACGGGCGGGTAGAGAGTAGGGAGTGTGCGAGAAGCAGGAGTGAGGGTACCTGAGATCCACACCCGGTTCTCCCACATTCTAGCTGTGTGACCTGTGCGGGCCACTTACCCTCTATCTGCGTCACTGCCATCATCTAATCCAGGCCACATTACAACCTCACTGGGGGCATTAAGTGAGATGAAGAGTGTAAAGGCTCTTACGATAGTGCCTGGCACACAGCAGTAGTGATAGTAAGAGTGAGGAAAGACACCTGCCCAGCCCTGCCACTTACCAGCTGGGTGCCCAGGGCCAAGTCATGAGCATGAGCTTGGAGCCCACCTGCCTGGGTTCAAATCCTGCGGCCCCCCGCCCCGCTCCTTCCCAGTGGTTGGGTCAGTGACTCACCTTGCTGGGTCTCGCTTCCCTTCTCTGTGAGATGCAGATGATAGAGCTCTTCCCTCGTGGGCTGGTGGTGAGGATGAATCCAGGTGACGCACGTGAGGAACTGATAGCAGCTCTGGGCTGAGTGTTCAAGATGTATGAGTTGCTGCCAATGTTCTTCCCTGCAAAAAAAAAAAAAAGAGACAAACGGAACCACTTTTTTTCCCGCTCCCATTCAAACACTGTGGTTGTTTATTAGGATGATGTGTAATAATGAGGGGCTAAGAGCCTATTTATTTTGCAGACTTTTTAAAGAAGGCAACACAGGGCTCCTGGTTGTGGAGGACGAGGGGGACGTAGCCCAGGCCCAGGTTTAGCTGGTGACCAGGGCTCCACCCAGCCCGGGAGCTTGGTCACCCGACCCCCGCCCGAGTCTGGGCTCCCGGGTGAGTTCGCCCGCTGACTGTCCCCTTCTCCCCACAGACGGTGTACAACCTGGCGGACGTGGCCTGCAAGTGCCACGGGGTGTCAGGCTCGTGCAGCCTCAAGACGTGCTGGCTGCAGCTGGCCGACTTCCGCAAGGTGGGCGACGCCCTGAAGGAGAAGTATGACAGCGCGGCGGCCATGCGGCTCAACAGCCGGGGCAAGCTGGTGCAGGTCAACAGCCGCTTCAACTCGCCCACCACGCAGGACCTGGTCTACATCGACCCCAGCCCCGACTACTGCGTGCGCAACGAGAGCACCGGCTCGCTGGGCACACAGGGCCGCCTGTGCAACAAGACGTCCGAGGGCATGGACGGCTGCGAGCTCATGTGCTGCGGCCGTGGCTACGACCAGTTTAAGACGGTGCAGACCGAGCGCTGCCACTGCAAGTTCCACTGGTGCTGCTACGTCAAGTGCAAGAAGTGCACGGAGATCGTGGACCAGTTCGTGTGCAAGTAGTGGGCACCCCGCCGCCCGCCTGTCACCCAGCCCCACTCCCAGGACCCACTTATTTATAGAAAGTACAGTGATTCTGTTGTTGTTGTTGTCTTTAATACTGTTTATTTTTTGTCCCCAAGAATTGCAACCGGAACCATATTTTTTTTCTGTTCCCATCTGAGAACTCTGTGGTTTATTATTAATATTATAATTATTATTTGGCAAAAAGGGGGGGTGGGAACCAAGAAAATATTTATTTTGTGGATCATTGAAAAGTAAGACAAGACTTCTTTTGCTGGTATATAGGATGAGGGGGGGAATAACGCACACCTTAAGTTAGATGTGTGCACATCTGGAAGGTCAAGGAAACACTGTTTTCTTTGTCTCAACTATGGGGTCATATGGGACAGGTAGCATCCAGCTGCAAGAGGGTGGTACAGATCTATGCATGATTTAGCTCCTGTGACTAAAAGGAATTCGGTGCTCTGGTGAAAGTTGAAAGGTCTTGAGAAAAAAACAAAACAATGAGACACTGTGCCTCTCTTTGGTCCCTGACAGTGGTCCACAAACCTAAGCATCTTTCCAGATGGGACATCCCTTCATCCATGGCCTCGGGCACATTCCACATTCCCTCTTCCTCACCCTTTGAAGGCTGCAGGGATCGGGGTGTGCTGGGAGCCCCCCCCCCCCCCCGCCCCTTTCCCAGGGGCTGCCAGCCTGAAACATTTCCAAAATGGTATTTAAAGTCTAAGAGCAAAAATCTCATATCCCTTAAAGAAAAAAGGTTTATCACGTGTCGCACTGTTCTCAAACATTCCATCTACAGATGGTCCATTCTACTAGCTACTGAAACTTGGGGAGCAGGGAGGGAAGCCCCAGAAATTTTAAAAAAAGAGAAAACTTAAAAACTCCTTATATTAAGTCAGTGATTTGACGCTGTTGTGGGAATTAGGTTATACACTTGGAAAAGGATCCCCGAGTGATTCTGGGTACTAGACTTTTTGTTTGGAGAAGGGCAAGGGAGGTTGGCTTGACTGTAAAGGAAAATATACTGTAATTTTCTTAGGGATACTTGGTTAATAAATGATAACAATGAAAATAATAAATGAATTCCATTCACAGACCCTCAGCCCGAGCTACAAGGTAATTGCGTGCAGTTCAGCACTGCACCAGAGCAGAAAACCTATTTGAGGGGGAAACGTGACATCCGCCCTCCCTACTTGACCCCACGCCCTATTCGATTCCTCCATGCCTTGCTGCGCTGTGACGCCGGCCACGTTTCCAAACAGCAGCTCCACTGCGTCCCCTCTGATAGTAGGACAGGAAATGAAACATAGGAGCTCCGCTTGGGAAACAGTTTGCTACTTAGGGATTTTGTTGTTCCCCTATAACTTTTATTTTGAGGAGCAGTAGTTTTCTATGTTTTAATGACATTGCTTGGCGAATGGACTTCACAGAGGTGTGGCAGCTTTTCCCTGTTAGGATCCTGTGTTTAGACTCTCCACTCACGCTTTCCTATTACCCTGCAGGTGTACCCCAGAACTGTTCCTAGAGGACTTGAACAGTTGCATTTATAAGGGGGGAAATGTGGTTTAATGGTGCCTGATATCTCAGTCTCTTGTACATAACATACATATATATATATATATATATATATATATATATAAATATAAATATA